GCCATTGCACTCCAGCCTGGGTAATAAGAGTGAAACACCGTCTCAAAAAAAAAAAAAAAAAGGCCAGGTGCGGTGGCTCATGCCTGTAATCCCAGCGCTTTGGGAGGCCGAGGCGGGCGGATCACCTGAGGTCAGGAGTTCAAGACCAGCCTGACCAACATGGTGAAACCCTGCCTCTTAAAAAAAAAAGTTTAAAAAAAAAAAATACAATACACAAAACAATATTATAAAGCACCATATAGTTGAATAAATGAGAAGGCCCAGTCCTACCATGAAACATACATAGGAATGAAGAAGAAACAAAGAGCTGAAGAGGCTGAGGCAGTAAGACAATGTCTTAGGGAAGAATGGAAAAGCAAAGCCAATTGCCCATCTTTCCAGGCACACGGTAAGCAAAGGCACAGGGTGCAGGGAGACAGAAAGCCTACTGCCCGACTCAAGGAGAGGGCTTCCGCTAGGGGATAATAGGGAAGAAAACTGATTTGAAAAGGTGACAGCTAGATGAAAGACTCTCAACCTGCAGGCTGCATGGCTGATTTAACAGAGAACGGAGCCTGATGTAGACACTCTGAATTTTTAAACCGGTGAGTGAGAAAATTAAAGCAGTGTTTCCAGAAGTCAAATCTGAGAGCAGCACAGAAGGTGAACTGAAATTCTCATTTGAACCAATTATACGAACCAGGTGTGAGGCTAAGAAGCCTAGAATAAAGGTGGCCATAAATGAAGGACTTCTCAATGACTCTAACTATACCAAAATTTGTGGTGAGCTGTTTAAAAATGTAACTATTTTTTCCTTTTTTTTTTTTTTGAAATGGAGTCTCACTCTGTCACCAGGCTGCAGTGCAGTGGCGCAATCTCGGCTTACTGTAACCTCCAACTCTCTGGTTCAAGCCATCCTCCTGCCTCCGTCCCCCAAGTAGCTTGGATTACCGGCATGCACCACCCAGCTAATTTTTGTGTTTTTAGTAGAGATGCGGTTTCACCATGTTGGCCAGGATGATCTTGATCTCCTGTCCTCATGATCTGCCTGCCTCAGCCTCCCAAAGTGCTGGGATTACAGGCATGCAGCACTATGCCTGGCCAAAAATGTATCAACTTTTTAAAAGAGCAACTTACTTTTAACAATGTAGGTTTTTGAGTAGGTAATATATTCACATGATTCAAACAACAGAGGAATAAGATGTACAGTAAAGCTGGGTGTGGTAGCTCATGCCTATAATCCCAGCCCTTTGGGAGGCCGAGGTGGGCAGATCACTTGAGGTCAGGAGCTTGAAACCAGCCTGGCCAACATGGCAAAATGCCATCTCTACTAAAAATACAAAAATTACCCCAGCGTGGTGGCATACACCTGTAATCCCAGCTACTTGGGAGGCTGAGGCAGGAGAATCACCTGAACCCAGGAGGCAGAGGCTGCAGCGAGCTAACATCTCACTATTGCACTCCAGCCTGAGTATCAGAGTGAGACTCCATCTAAAAAAAAAAAAAGATGGGTAAAAAAAAAAAAATTTTTTTAATGTACAGTAAAAACTTTCCCTCCCACCCTGCCTCCCCCATCTGCCCAGTTCCCCCAATTTTCCCAACATATAACCACTGTTGTTCATTTTCACTGCCCAGAAATTGTTTTGGAAACATACAAGCTAATACAAGCATATTGTCTTTCATTCTTCCTTGTTACACAAATGGCATTCAATATACAGTTTTGCACCCTTGCTGTCTTCACTTAGCACACTTTTGAGATTGCTGCAGTGCACTACTCTCTCAGTACACAGGGGGCTTTCTAATTGGACTTCACAGCTGCACAGCACTGCTCTGAACAGGTTTATCATGGTTGAACTATGTCCCCCTTCGGTGACACCTGCTTTCAGTCTTTGGCTATTACAAACAATGCCAAAATAAAGAATCCGGGAGATACATCATTTGTATGTGTTTCAATCTATTCATCTGTGTGAAGAATTCCTGGAGGCGGAACTGCTCAGGTGAGTATTTGTAATTTTGATAGACACTGCCATATTGACCCCTCCAGGAGTTAGTGACTTCATTACTCTTTCAACTGCAATGCCTGTCTCTTCAGGTTCTTATAAGTACAACATGTCTTCAAATTTTTGGATTTTTGCCAGTCTAATAAGTATACGGTATAGTTTTTCTTCCTTTTTTTTTTTTTTTAAGCGGCATAGCTTTAATTTGCATTTCCCTGTTGACTAAGTCCCATTAAGAACAGAGATTTTTGTCTCTTTTGGCCAGTTCTATTATTTACAGTGCCTAGGAGCACGTACAGAGAGTTCAGTATTTATTAAATGAATAAGCAGTGAGTAGAATACTTTGCCTATGTTTACTAGCCATTTCTATATCCTTTCCATGAACTATACATTCAAATTCTGTATCTTTCTGTTGTTGGTGTTTTTGTTTTTATTATCAATTCATGGATGCGCTTTAAAAATATTATGAGAATCAGTCTTCATTTTTTTTTGAGACAGGGTCTGGCTCTGTCACCCAGATTGGAGTGCAGTGGTATGTCTTGGCTCACTGTACCCTCCAGCTCCCAGGCTCAGGACTACAGGCATACACCCTGACACTCAGCTAATTTTTTAGTTTTTTGTAGATACAAGGTCTCATTATATTGCCCAGGCTGGTCTTAAACTCCTGGGCTCAAGAGATCCTTCCACCTCAGCCTCCCAAAGTGCTGAGATTATAGGTGTGAGCCACTGTGCCTGGCCCAGATGAGTCCTTTATCTGTAACATGAGTTGCAAATTCTTCTCAACTGGTTATATGTCTTTAGACTCTCTATAGTGTTTTTGTTATAAATAATTTTTATGTGTTTGAATATATCAGAAGTTGGTCTACTTTTAATGAATACATCAGAAGTTTGTCTACTTTTCCTTTAAATTTATTTTTGATATGGAGTCTTACTCTGTCACCCAGGCTAAAGTGCAGCGATGTGACCTTGGCTCACTGCAACTTCTGCCTCCTGGGTTCAAGCGATTCTCCTGCCTTAGCCTCCCAAGTAGCTGGAACTACAGACATGCATCACCACACCCAGTTAATTTTTGCATCTTTTTTTAGTAGAGACAGAGTTTCACCACGTTGGCCAGGCTGGTCTCAAACTCCTGACCTCAGGTGATCCACCTGCCTTGGCTTTCAAAGTGCTGGGGTTATAGGCACAAGCCACCATGCCTGGCCAGAAGTTTGTCTACTTTTAATACAAGTCTTGCCCTATCCAGACACAGTTCTATGTAGTTTTAAATGGCCACATTATTTAACACATAAAAAGCAATACACACACACACACACACACACACACACACACACACAGAATGCGAGAGCTAGAAAACAATACCTACCTCATAACCATACTGAAGAACAGAAGAAGCTAGGCACGCTCCCAAAATATTGCCCACTGAAGCGCAGGCACTCCAGAGACCAAAAACAACTCCTCGTCTAAGACGCAAAACAGTGGAGACAAAGGACCATGGTCAGAAGAGATACTCTGGGCAGTTCAAAATACAAAACAGCCAAAACAACCAAAGTGCATACTACCAAGACTAAACAGGCTACTTTAAAAGTTTTTTAAAATTCACCATAATGACAAAAGGTCAAGTCTCCTCTAACTCTATGATTTTATTAAAGTTTAATTTAGAGCTCACAGAAAGACACTGTTTGGAGAATTAAAAAAGACAAGCCACAAGAGAAATTATTTGCATACCACTTATCCGATAAAAAATTGTTATCCAGATTGGGCACAGTGGCTCATGCCTGTAATCCCAGCACTTTGGCAGGCCAAGGCAGACAGATCACCTGAGGTCAGGAGTTTGAGACCAGCCTGGCTAGCATGGCAAAACCCCAACTCTACTTAATTAGCCAGGCATGATAGTGGGCACCTGTAATCTCAGCTACTCGAGAGGCTAAGGCAGGAGAATCACTTGAACCTGGGAGGCAGAGGTTGCAATGAGCCGAGATCACGAAATTGCACTCTTGCCCTCCAGCCTGGGGGACAGAGCAAGACTCCGTATTCAAAAACAAAACTGTATCCAGAATATAAGGCAATAGCACTCTCAAAACTCAGTAAAATATGACAACAGACAATGCAATTGAATGTTAAAAAGCATGAATCTACAATCAGCTCAAAATAAAAAGTCTTTGAAAAGTGGGCAAAAGATTTTAACAGATACTTCACATAAAAAGATGTAATACAAAAAACACTCAGCTGGCCAGCGAGGTGGCTCATGCCTGTAATCCCAGCCTTTGGGAGGCCTGAAGTAGGTGGGTCACTTGAGGTCAAGAGTGACCTCAACATGGTGAAACCCCATCTGGCCAACATGGTAAAACCCCACCTCTGCTAAAAATACAAAAATTAGCTGCACGTGGTGGCTGCACACCTATAATCCCAGCGAACTGGGAGGCTGAGGCCGAAGAATCACTTGAACCCAGGAAGCAGAGGTTGCAGTGAGCCAACATGAGGCCACTGTACTCCAGCCTAGGTGACAGGGTGAGACCCTGTTTCAAAAAAAAAAAAAAAAAAAAAAAAAAAAAAAAAAAAAACACGATCAACATCATTAGACATTAGAAAAATGCAAATTAAAGTCACAATAAGATAACATTACACACTTATTAGAATGGCTAAAATCAAAAAACACCAAGCACGCCAAGTGTTAGGAACGGCACAGAACAAAATTAAACCCTTATGTTCTGCTGATGGGAATGTAAAATGGTACTACCACTTTGGAGGAGACTGCCAGTGTCTTAAAAAGGTAAACACACGCCTGACATGTGATCCAGCCACTCTACTCCTAGGTATTTACCCAAGAGAAATGAAAGCATATGTCCACACAAGGATGTGTACACAAATGTTCCCAGGAGCTTTATCTGTAATAGCCCAAAACTGAAAACAACCCAAATGTTCACCCACAGGTGAATGAATAAACATGAATAAATTTCTAATTATCCTGAATAAAGGAAGACACAAAGCCTGGGTGTGGCAGCTCAGGCCTGTAATCCCAGCACTTTGGGAGGCTGAGGTGGTCAGGAGGCCGAACAGCTTGAGGCCAAGAACTTGAGACCAGCCTGGGCAACACAGTGAGACCCTTTCTTTACAGGAAAAAA